CCCTTGTCCCATTCTAATGACCTTGTGATGGTTAATACTGACTTTCAACCTTACTTTCAACCTAGAATCACTTTGGAGACCACCTCTTGGTAAGTTTTTGAGGGAGTTTCTAAATTTGGTTAATTAAATGTGATGCGCTGTGGTCCTAGACTGAATGAAAAAGGAGATATGGGAGATGGAATGTACATCAGTTTCAGAGCACTTACAAGAGCATAATCAAGGCTGTTCAGTTCAGTTCCATAAGAACACACACACACACACACACACACACACACACACACACACACGCATGCACGCACGCACGCTCCGTAGGTCTGGCTGACCCGAAACGCATTAGGTAGACCAGGGTAGCTAGCCTCTAACTTGAGGTGGTCCTTCTGCTCTGCCTCTTGAGACGCCCCCTCGGGCTTCTTCTCCTGCCATGCAGTATCCTGTGTCTGGCACCCTTGTCTATAAAAAGCCTCCGATTTCCACCAGGCTGTTGTGGGTCGCCCTGCTTTGTTCTCCAGTATAGTGTCTGGTGGTTCGCCTGGAGAACTACCTTGAACTCTCAGGTTTGCTAGATGTTTCTTTCTTGTTCAAGTTTTTCTTTTTTTTAAATTGAGACAGGGTCTCAGTGCCCAGCTTTGGTCAAGGATGACCTTGAACTCCTCTATAGGGGGTGGCACCACACCCAGCAGGTTCTGTTTGTATTTGAGATACAGCTTACTTGTTCTGCCGTTCATTTAAGTGGTATAGCTCCATCTATTTTGTTTTTTTGAGACAGGATGTCTTGCAGCCCAGGGTGTTCTTGAACGCTCTATTTTGCTGAGATTGACCTCTGAACTTCCACCTCCCATGTGCTGGGATTACAAGTGTACTCCACTAGGCCCAGCTGAAAAAAAAAAAATTAAAGCTGTACCTGAAAGTGCACAGAAAGGAAGAACACAAAGCAGTTAGTGACTGTCAGGACTCTGAGCTTGGCAAGACACAGGATGGGCTATTGACCCCTCTAGCACTAGGTGCCCCCTTGATTTCAGTGTGGGATCCTGACTGAATCCTGTGGGTCCTTTTCATCTCGTCTTGTTGGCAGCTCTGCTGCCTTCTCCTCTCCCAGTTTTGTGGGTTGGGCCAGATCACACACTGGAGGTTCTGTTCTGTGTTTACTCTGGGCATTGTTGATCTGTCCTGTATTTTGTGACCTTTGGCACATCGTCAGAAGTACCTGCTGCAGGTGTGTACCAACTGGTTCTTTTTTTGTGCTGGGACACCTACAGCCTTGTACTTACTAGGCAAGTGCTCTACCGCTGAATTTTATGTCTCTACCTCTTTTTGTCTTTTTTTTTATTTTGAGATAGGCTCTCACTAAACTGCCCAGGCTGGCCTTGAACTCACTGTATAGCTCAGGTTGGTCTTGAACATTCCATATCTCTGGTCCATTCTCCAGGTCACTGGAGAATGAGCCATGAGCCTGTCATTGGGAGGTGATTGAGTCCGTAAAGTCCATGCTGTACAAGCGTGAGGACTTGAGTTCAGATCTCCAACACCCATTTAAAGCCAGCTGTGATAGCAAGCATCTGTAGCCCCAGTGCTGGGTAAAGACCAGTTACAGGTGTGAGCTACCACATCCAGCCATTTTTGGGGTTCTAGGGATTGAACTCAGTTGTCAGGCTTGTGCATTAATTGCTTTAACCTGCCCTGGAATATTCTTTTCTGCTGTGCTGGTTACCTGGGATTTATTGACATGTGAGGGAGTTCTTAGTTCAGAAACTGCCATCGGTGTTTTCCAAGATTGTCCCCTGTGGAATTAACCTAACACATGACACAGCTAGAGGGGAGCAAAGGAGAGCCTGTGAGCAAGGGCACCATGTCTTGATAGCTGTCAATTGAGGCCCTGCAGCTTGGTCTATATGAGGGCTGTGTGTGGGGAGGGCAGGATGCCACTACCGAGGCAGATGGGGCATCCTTTGATTAGATTCTGGTGCTTTCCATTCTTGGGTCCTCCAGGAGAAAGATTCTTTTGGTGCAGGTGATTCCCCTCACCTTGTTTATGGCCCCCTTGGTCAGCCTCTAGCAATTCTGCCTCTGCATATGTGTGTGACTGGTTTTCTATAGCATTGTTTGAGACAGGGTATCACTACATAGCTCTGACTGGTGTGGAACTTGCCATGTAGACCAGGCTAGCCTCGAACTTAGAGATTCACCTGCCTCCACCTCCCCAGTGCTGGGATAAAAGGTGTGCACCACCGTGTCTGGCCTTAAAGATTTATTTTTATTTTGTGTATATGAGTATTTTGCCTGTATGTATGTGAACTATAGCATCGTTTCCCCTAACTAGAGTGGGGCATACTTTAGGGATCCTTGGAACGAGGCCTGTGTTCATGTGTGCAGATGTGTGACCTGACTTGCCCTTAGAGGTAGCAAACTATAGTTAGGAAGCTTGTCTCTGAGACTCTTGAATTTGACTGGGGAGTGGCTGCAGGATGGAGAGGGGACAGAAAATGTACGCATGAGGGGCCTGTGTTCACCTAGGGTCCTGAGTAGGTACTTCCTACTCAGTTCTCCAGTCTTAACCTTAGTGCTAAACATCCCGGCCTGGGTGGGTGGTGCAGTATTCCAAAGGATCCTAGAGTTTGATTTTGCCTTCTTTGTCTGTAGTCCTAGGAATTGAACCCAGGGCTTGCTCACAGTGGCCAGGCAGGCATTCTACTATGGAGCTGAAATCCTTAGCTGCCTTTTTTGGGGGGGTTGGGGTCTATTCGAGGTAATATCTCCTAGCTGGAGGTCACTATGTAGACCAGGCTGGCCTCAATTTCACAGAGGTGGGGTGTGTGTGTGTGTGTGTGTGTGGTGTGTTGTGTATCTCCCACCTCTGCCTCCTCAGTGCTGGGATTAAAGGTGTTTGCCACTATACCTGGTCTTTTTGCCTTTGAAAGTGAAGGATGGGCTGGGGTACTAGGGTTAAAATCTAGGGCCTGGCACATGTAAAGCTGATGCTCTGCTGAATCATGCCCTAGCCTGTGCATCTTTGGTAAGGGAGCAAACACAGATTTCACATGCAACTGAAACACGGTTAAGCAGGCGGGTTGGACCTTGTTGCTGGGTGAGGTGTTTCTTAGATGAGGAAGGAAGCATCAGTGCAGGCTTTGGGAACAGGTCACAGAGGAACTGATTGACTGGGCCAGAATGCTCCGCTTCTCCTCTGGGATATTTAGAGGACCCAGGATATGTGTGTGTCCTTTAACCCCAGAATTGCCCTGCCAACCCATTTGGATTCTGTTTTGTTTCAGAGTCTTGCCGAGTTTTGAAGGTAATAGGGAGATGCCGGGCATCCTTCCCCAGGTGGTGGTACAATGTCACTGATGGGTCCTGCCAGCCATTTGTGTATGGAGGCTGTGAAGGAAACAGCAATAACTACCAGAGCAAGGAGGAGTGTCTGGAGAGGTGTGCCGGCGTCACAGGTAAGATTGGACCTGGAGCTTCTGCCACTCTGCTGTGTTCTTTTACCCAGAGCTTAGGCTTGAAAGCAGAAGCAGGCCGAGAGTGCTGTGGCCGCAGTGGTTTCACAGCAGGCTTCCTACCTCTTACCAGAAAGGGTCAAGCCTTCCACCCAGCCCCCTTCCTCTCATTTTTAAGTGCAAGTGCCACATACCAGCCCAGCCCAGGAGGACTGGCCTCCAGATCCACTTGTACAGCCCCCTTCTTCCCCGGGCATTAGGGTTTATTTTTACCTCTGGGACAAGTGATCTGAAAAGCTTAAAAAGCCATGTTAGGAGTTAACATTGGAGTATGTGCCCTGGAATCCATCCTCCCCAGCTCTTACTTGCAAGGGTCTGTGAAGGTAATGTTGACCCTTACAGTTCAAGTAAAACCTGAAGAAGCTCCAGCAAAGAGCTCTACTCTGACCCGGCAGAAGGGACTTTCTCTGATTCTTGATCCCTTCCATGTGTTCAGAGGCTGGGTGGGGCTGAGCTGCCCAAACCCTGCTGTAAAGATTTTGAGTAGTCCTTCCTGGTGTGCAGTTTTGCCTGGTACTTGGCCTTGAGGCTGTGACTGGACTGTGATTCTGTTGGTTCTGTGATTCAGCGTTCACTGTCAGTCCCCCCATCCTTGTTGATATTTATGGTTTTCTGTCTCAGCCGTGACCTTCAGCAGTGACTCATATCTACAGCAGTGGCTGAAGCATACAAATATGAGTGTGGGCAGGGGCAGTTTGCTTGTTTCAGCAGGATTCGGAGAGCCTAGGGGCAGGTGTTGATTTTAGTTTAGTGTTTTGAGACAAGGTTTTACTCTCTGGCCCAGGCAAATCTCAAACTCTTGATCTTCCTGTCTTTGCTTCCCCAGTGCTTAGAGCATAGTGATGTACCACCATACCCAGCTAGGGTATTTTTTGTTTTGTTTTGTTTTTGTTGGAACAGGGTCTCTCTGTAACCCCAGCTGACCTAGAACTTGCTGCGTAGATCAGGCTGGCCTCGAACTCAGAGATTCACCTGCCCCTGCCTCTGCCTTTCAAGTGCTGAGATTACAGGTGTCTGTTACCACACCAGGCTGTTTTGGATCAATACAAAAGTCTCTCACCTTTTGAGTAGTAACTAGTGTTTGAGGAGTGATGGAAGAAAACATCATTTTTGTGTGTTTTTCCATCCCATGTCGTGGGGAAGGGACATGCTTTTTGCTCTTTTTGATGTACTGTGCCCATCTTAGAAACAGGGTTGAAGGGTTAAGAACATGAGCAGGAGATGGTGGGTGTAAGGCAGGCTCGGCGTCTCCCTGGAGATGGTCCAGAACCTGACCTCAGCTGTAAGGGCCCAGAAAGCTCATTTGTGGGCAGCTGGTTGTGTGCCTCTTGGCACTCTCATGAGAGCCTGTAAGGAGAGCCGAAAACGGCCAGAGCAATGGCTCTGGGGCCCTGGAGTCCTTTGCCAGCATATTCTTTTCTAGGCAGGCAAGTTCTGTGGGCGGCCAAATGAGAATGAGGGTGCCAGTTTATTAATTTATAATGAGAACTAGACCCACCCAGGGGACTAGACATCCCTGGGCCTGTGTTTAGTCTGCGTAGCAAACCAATCAGCCAGACTGCTAGAAGATGGCCTAGTGAGGACAGAAGCGGATGGAGGGGAGCTGGTTTGTGAGCTGACAGTTGAATGACATCAGGCCAGCCTCTCTACAGACCTCTGGGACCCTGCCAGACCAGGCAGCCTCTTCACCCACTCTTAACTTGTGCTGGTGATAAAAATCTATATTGTATGCTAGGCAAAGTGGCATTCAGCTGTAATCCCAGCTACAAATTTGGGAGGATGAGACAGGACAGTCTCGGGGTTTGAGATCAGCTTGGGCAATGTAGCAAGACCTTGTGTCAAAAAAAAAAAAAAAAAAAAGAACCACCCATACCCCTCCTATAAAACTGACCATTTTAGCTGGGCATGGTGGCGAACGCCTTTAATCCCAGCACTCGAGAGGCAGAGGCAGGCCTCTGGTCAGGTTTTTTTTTTGTCTTTTTGCACGAGGTCTCCCTGTAGCCCTAGCTGTCCTGGAACTCACTATGTAGACCAGGCTAGCCTTGAACTCACAGAGATCTGCCTCTGCCTCCCGAGTGCTGGGATTAAAGGTGTGTGCCACCACGCCCGGCTAATAACTGACCATTTTAAAGTTTTTTGAGGGGCTCAGTGTTAGGGGTTGCTCTGGCAGAGAACCTGACCTCTGCAGGTACCATGTGGGTCCTGAGGATTGAACTCAGGTCTTCAGACTTGGCAGCAAACATCTTTATTCACTGAGCCACTTTAACCAGTCTCCCTCTCCCTTTTAAAAAATATGTGTTTAAGGGGCTGGAGAGATGGCTCAGCAGTTAAGAACACTGGTTGTTCTTGCAGAAGACCCGGGTTCGAATCCCATCACCCACATGGCAGCTAACAACTGTCCGTAACTCCAGTCTCAGGGGATCCGACAGCCTCTTCTGACCCTCACAGAAGGAGGACACAGGTGCATGACACAGGTGCATTTACCTACATGCAGGCAATACAGGCATACACATAAAATAAAAATACTAAATAAAATATTAAAATAAACAGCAAAGCTTTTAACTGAGCCATCTCTCCAGTACCTCCTCATCCCCACCCCAACCCCGCCCCCATAGCTGGAGACAAGGTCTGTGTTGCCCAGGCTGGCTGCTTTGAATTCCTGAGCTCAAGTTATCATCTTGCCTTATCTTCTAAGTAACTGGGACTGCAGAAATGCCACTATGCCTGGTGTCATTTCAGCCATTCTAAGTGTATACAGTTCAGTAGTATTTAGTACATTTATAGTTTTGTGCCCTTTTAAATTCTAGATACAATAGATACAAACTGGATGTGGTGGCTCATGCCTTTAATCCTCCTGTGGCAGGAGGATTGGCAGTATTATGGGCTGGAGAGATGATGCAGTGGTTAAGGGTGCACACTTTATTGCAGAGGACCAGATTCAGTTCCTAGCACCCATATCAGGCAGCTCAAAACCACCAGAACTCCAGTTACAGCAGATCTAACACCCTCTTCTGGCTTCTGTGGGCATCTTGTACACGTGGTATACATAAACTCAAGCAGGCACACACACAGAGACATAAATACATTTTTTAAAGAAGTAAATTCTTTTTTTAAAAAAGAAGCCAAGCCAGCCCGTGGTGGTGCATGCCTTTATTCCCAGCACTTGGAGGCAGAGGCAGATAGATCTCTATAAGTTGGAGGCCAGCCTGGTCTATATAATGAGTTCTAGGACAGCTGAGGCTACAGGAAGACCCTGTCTCAAAAAGACTAAAAAAAATTTTTTTAATTTAATTACATTCTTAAATTTATAGTGTGTGTGTGTGTGTACGCGCATGCATGTATGTTCCACATGTATGTGCGTACATGTGGAAGTCAGAGGACAACTTTCAGGAATTGGTTCTGTCCTTCCACCATGTGGGTCCCAGGAATCAAACTCAAATTTTCAGATTCGACCTTATCAAGCAATATCAATGTCCGTATTTTTAATGTAGGTCTTAAACACAGGTTAGTAGAGAGACATTTAGGGAAAGAATAAGATATACTCATGTGAGATGGGCATGGTGGCTCTCACCTTTACTCCCAGCACTCAGGAGGCAGAAACAGGTGGATCTCTGTGAGTTTGAGGCCAGCCTGGTCTACATGGTAAGTTCCAGGCCAGCTGGGGCTACAGAGACACCCTGTCTCAAAAAGACCAGTGAATAGATATACTTATGTGTAGGTATGGGTTTCTCAAGGGAGCATCAGTCACCTCTGTTTTTTCAGGCAGGGTCTATGTAGTCCCGGCTGGCCTGGAACTCACAATGTAGACCAGGCTGGCCTCAAACTCATAGAAATTTGCCTACCTTGCCCCTACCTAGTGCTGGGAATAAAGGCTTACACTACCACACCCAGCTTGGCTTCTTTTTTTAAAAAATCTATGTTAAAAATGTATTTAAGGATGTATTTAATGTATTTATTTAAAATAAACATAAAAAAAGAAAAAATGTATTTAATAAATTCCAACTCTGCTTCAAAAAAGTAGATAAGGTTTAACAGATCATTTTACCCCCGAGAGCCCTCAGAGCCCTCTCTCCTTGTAAAGCCATTTTGCTCAGCTTTGCTCAGGTTCCCTGTAAGTTGGCTTTCAGTTGGTTCTTCAGATCAAAGGCAGTCCCAGTTCCTGGTTTCTAAGTTAGGGCCGGCTTATTATGGTCCTGTGTGCACCCAGAGGCTCCACAGAAAGAAGGAATGAGAGTCAGTTGCTGCACAGGGGACCCATGTTTTTCCTTGCTGGGTGCCTTAGAGATGCACATTCTCACTGTGGTGTTCTTCATCTCCTCACAGAGAATACTGTTGATCGGGGCAGCAGCAGGAGTGGAGTTCAGTCCTCTGTCCTAAGTGGTAGGTTTTTAAAAGGATGAGGGGGGAATGAAGGCCACACAGACGGTAACTGAGGGGACACTTAGAACAGGGAATTGTAAAGTGCTTCTGTGTCTGCCTCCAGCACGAAGCATTCCCTGGGCCAGCAACAGGAGGGTCATACACTCAGACTCTGCCTTCCCTGCAGGCTGCTGCCTGCTGTGCGGTGTCCTCTGCTCCCATTGGGTTGCTGTCTCTCTCCCTCTGCTAGAAGTCGTTTGTCCTCTGCCAGCCCCTCCCTCTGTCCACTGCTGTCCTTGATCTAGAGCTTTGTGTTAGTTTGCTTTGTAGTGCTGACAGCAGCTCTCCTGCTCCTCTTTTATACTTAAGGGACTCCACGGCAGGATCCTGGGTGAGTGGTCCCTTGCGCTAGCTAGTAGCAATTGTACCTTCAGGGCCAGGGGCTCAGATGGGCCAACAAGACCTGCCCTTCCATAGAGGGAGGGACTAAACCCCTGTCTGGGACAAAAGTCCCCTCAGTGGCCAGTCCTACATACCACAATCTGAACTCCCACTTGACACCAGAGTCCCCATGGGAGTTCAGTGGCTGTTGGGGCTTGCCTGATTTACAGAAAGCCAAGGTTAGGCTAGAGCACATTTCAGTTGCTCTAGGCCTTTGTTGGCTGTTCAGGGCCCTGCATGTAGCTCTGGTTTCCAGGTTATTTCAGAAGAAAATTTCCCCAGGAGAGTAAAGTTTTTGGCCATGTCAGAAAGTGTGAGCAAAGCTATCTTCTAAATCACTCCTGAAACATGACTGAAAGTCGTCTCCACAGAAACTACTGAAGTGGCAGTAGCCCCACCCCCCTCCTGTGTTCATTCAGCAAGCCATCAGGACCAGGGGCTTTGTTCATCCCCTTAAAGGGGACACTGCCCATGCTCCCTCTATGGGCCCTTTAGACTCAGCCCTGTTAGGCCGATTGCCCTGTGTCCCTCCTGACTCCCCAACACAGATTTTTGTGTTTCAGGTCCCAGAAGGCAGGAATCTAATGACCTCTCCAGTGAGATCTTCAACTATGAAGGTATAATATTTTTTAAAAATTTAAATTTGCTGGGCGTAGTGGCGCACACCTTTAATTCCAGCACTTGGGAGGCAGAGGCAGGCGGATCTCTGTGAGTTTGAGGCCAGCCTGGTCTACATAGCAAGTTCCAGGTCAGCTGGGGCTACAGGGAGACCCTGTCTCAAAAAAGTCCAAAAAAAAAAAAAAGGTATGTGGGGTGGCGGGGGTTGTTTTCTTACATAGTGAGCAATTGACACTCACTTGCAGGGACTTGCAGAGCTTCTCAGTCATTCCTTGGTTACACTCTAGGGCTGGGGTCAGGATGACAGGCATCAATGAGTGTCTGAGGCTGGCAGGAATCCAGATATACCAGGAAAGTAGAGGCAGTCTGGTGTGTGCTTCTAGAATTTACCACCCTGCCTCTCACTAGCTGTGTGGCTGTGGCTAGCAAGCCATAGTCCCATGTGTGAACTGAGGGTCCCAGACTAGTCAGAGGCCAACTCAGTACATGTGAAGTGCCTGGAACACCTCAGACTCCAGACAACATGATCATGGCTGTTTAGGAGATGTCTGGAAATGAAGGGCTTCACTAGGGGCCTGGTGGTATACAGCTGAAATCCCAGCACTCAGGATCTGAGATGGGAGGACTTCCATGAGTTCAGGGTCAACCTGGGCCACACAGGGCAGGTATGAGCAGGCCAGGCTGGCTGTGTCTGACCCACAGGCCCTTCACGATGCTGATGGCACTCTGCTTTGGTCCAGCTGGGTTCATTCAGGCTCCTCTTCTCATGGGCCCTGGTGATTTGTGTTCCTGAGGCTCCCTTGCTCTTGCTTCCAGAATACTGCATTCCAAAAGCTGTAACTGGGCCTTGCCGAGCAGCCTTCAAACGCTGGTACTTTGATGTGGACAAGAACTCCTGTAACAGCTTCATCTATGGCGGGTGCCGGGGCAATAAGAACAGCTACCTCTCCCAGGAGGCATGCATGCAGCACTGCTCTGGTAAGTCAGCCTCACCCCAGTCCCAAGACCACTGGGAGCCCTTGAAAAGCCCTTTCTCTGTCCCTACAATGAAGGCTTTGGTTGGAAACTATCCTTTGGACCCCTTAAGTGGCAAGGCCTCAGAGCCTCCAGAAAAGCTGGAAAAAGTCCTCAGGGAAAGCTGGGGAAGGCTCTGAGGCTGTAGGAGGCTGTAGGAAGCTGAGGGGGCCCAGGCTGGGGAGAAGGATATGGAGCTGACCTCAGGGTTTTGTGTTTTCAGGTAGGCAGATGTATCCTGTCCTGACCCCTGGCACCAAAGGTATGTGGCTTCATGCTCTCCTCTGCCTCCCTCCCACCTGCCTACCACTGGCCTTCCTTGACTGAGGGCTCTGCCCAGCTGCTTTTCCTGTGGGTTTATGTCTTGTTTACGTTGTCCTTCACTGGAATGTCTTTGTGGCAGAGGGCTGTGTCTCTACATGAAAATGGTCAGGCATCTTGGGACTTGTGGACAGTTGTCCAACAGCAAACACTAAACACATGTGGGAGCTGAACCTGAGCCAGGAATTCTCTAGGCAGGCTCATCTTGTAGGATCTGCATGATGATTGGATCCCAGATTTGGAGGAAGTTTAGCTGCCATGGGGTATGAAGAGATGGTCAGGGGTGACAGGAAGGAGGGCATGGGACAATACTGCTGTGCACAGGCTGTCTGGCCTGGCAAGGAGGCCCTGCATCTCTTCACTTTTGTCTCTGACCCTGTGTGTAGGTGGTATTGATGGAGAGGGCCTGCCACATTGGTTTGACTTCTTTCTTGATCTGTTTCCCTATTATGGAGCCAAGACCCTGTCTACAAGTCTGCCTTGTTGTAGAAGCTCAAGTCTGGTTCTCAGGGCTGGGGCTGGAAAGCTGCCCAGGTCTTGAGGGTTGATTGTGTGTAGAGTTGGGCAAGGTATTGCCCAGAAATCCAGCTAGGCCCTGTACCTGGTGGAGGAGGGGTATCAGGTAAATTTCATAGAAAGGCACATGCCTGAGATAGAGCCGCACCTGGAAAGGAGGCATCTTAGCTGACCAGTGGGACAACCACTGTTACCATGACCCAGCAATTAGGAGCATGAGGATCCTCCCAGGGCTGCTCAGGATACTCTCTTACCTCTGCCCTGGCTTCATGACCAAGGCAGCCACCTATACAGGCCCATCTTTCACTCTCACCAGTCAGGGTATATGGGCACAAAATCTTTGGGTTTTTCTGTTCACACACAACAAAGGGAAGCACCTGTTGGCATGCAGCTCCCACCAGGATGCCCTGACAGGGACCAAGGGATACAGATATGAAGTAGGCTTTTTTCTTTTCAAGATTTTGGGTATGAAAAAAAAAAAAAGATTTTGGGTATGAGCACAAGAGTACAGGTGCCCATGGAGGCCAGAAGTGTTGGATCCCCTGGAGCTGAAGTTACAGGTGGTTGTGAGCAGCCCAGTGTGGGTGCTGGGAATTGAACTCGGGTTCTCTGCAAGAGCAGTACAGGCTCTTAACTGCTGAGCCACCTCTCCAACCCCCTGAAGTGTTTTTGTTTGTGTTTTTTTTTGTTTTTCCAAAACTAAGGCTCACAGCCAGGCACATTAATACCTGTAATTCCAGCACTTAGAAGGTAGAGACAGGAAGATCAGGAATTCAAGGCCAGCCTGGACTACATGAGATTGTATCACAAAAAACCTAAGTAGAACCATCTTGATGGCCCAGCGAGTAAAGGTGCTTACTGCCAATCCTGACAAACGAAGTTCCATCCCTGGAACCCACATGGTGGAATGAGAGAATCAGTACCTAAAAATTGTCCTCTGGCCTCCACAAGCACACATGCACACCATGATACACACGTACCCAGACACCATCTCTCTCTCTCTCTCTCTCTCTCTCTCTCTCTCTCTCTCACACGCACACACAGACACACACACGCAAAAGCAGCACAAGAGCCTCTGTGTGCATGTGGCATGATAGCCCCTTTTCTCAGGGGACCTCACTGGTGACTTCCTGGCAGTCCCTCCAGATTCCCAGGTTGGGCTTCTGTGCCCCCACTCATCCTGCTGGCCCTCTCTGGCTGTGCTCTTCCTTGACTCACCTGTCCCCTCTTGCCCTCAGCGGTGGTCCTGGTGGGGCTGCTTGTGATGATCCTGATAGTCCTCCTGGGAGCCTCAGTCATCTGCCTGATCCGAGTGGCACGCAGGAGGCAGGAGCGCGCCCTCCGCACCGTTTGGAGCACTGGGGATGACAAGGAACAGCTGGTGAAGAACCCCTACGTCCTGTAAAGGTCCTGCTGCCAGGAGACCTGGGGAGGGAGGGAGAACACGTGCTTTTTTTTAAAAAGGAGCGATTGCTTGTATCTGTGAGATCATTAGGGTACTCTGTGTCAGGGAGATGCTCCCTGGTCCTGCTGGGCTGCTCTGGGACACCCCAGAGGGAAGGCAGGCACTTCAGGTGTCCCCTTAATTTCTTCTGTCCATTCAGCTTCCTCTCTTTTTCATCACTGTTAGCCATGTTCTAATAGCTCCCTTTGTTTGTTTGAGTCATGTTTTTTTAAGTAGAAAAGGTTTTTTTAATTAGGATTCTGAAGGAAAAAGTGTGCAAGTTTAATGAAAAGGACCTTTTAAAATAAAATTACGTGGTTTCTTTCTCCGTGTGACGACTAATTTACACTCTGCAGGACTTGATGTGCAACAGGATTCTAGAAACACCTTAATCTAGAAAAACCTTAATTTGTTTTGTCTTAGAGACGGGCTCTTACTCTGTAGCCCAGGTGTGGAATTTGTCGCAGTTTGGCCTCAGCTTTGAGTGCTGAGAGTACAGGCATGAGCTACTGTGTCTAGGTCTAAAAGAGCATGTTTTTTTGAGGGGGGGGGGTATCCTGATATAGGAGATTGAACCCAGGACCTCATGCATGCTGGTCAGGTGCTCTACCACTGAGCCATAGCCCCTAGTGGTCTTTTTGTTTATTTGGTTTTTGTTTTTATTTGTCTTAAGGTTTCTCTGTAGCCCTGGTTGGCTGGCCCAGAACTCCCTATGATCAGCCTGCCTCTTCCTCGGCTTCCCTAGTGGTGGGATAGTGAAGATCTGCACCACTGTGCCTGGGTTTTTCTTTTCCTTTTTTTTTTTTTTTTGGAAATGGGGTTTTGAAACAAGTTTTCAAGGCTGGCCTTGAACTCCTGATCTTCCTGTGCTATGATTTTGTAGTACTAGACACTGAACCCAGGGCTTTATGCATGCCAAGCAGGCAGCCTGCCAGTTGACCCCAGCCCTTCATAGTTAACGTTTCAGTGTTTTGCCTGTATGTACGTTAAGTGCACTGCATGTGTGCAGTACCTGTGGAGTTGAAGGAGGGGTCAGGTCTGCTAGAACGGGAGTTACAGACTGCTGTTAGCTGCCACGTGGGTGCTGGAAATGGAACCCAGGTCCTCTGCAAGAGCAGCCAGTGCTTTTAACCTCAGAGCTTTCCCTCCAGCCCCTTTCCATGTTTTTAAAATAATGCCCATGATGTGAAATAAATTTTCCCCTACTGAGGGCCAAGCCATAGCCTTGCTACCTGTGGACAACCCTGACCTTCTTTCACACCCCACTCAACAGGTCTCTGTGACGAATACGGCAGACCCTTCTGAGATGAAAGTGATGTTTTATTTTTGATCATTTAATAAACCTGTGGGTGGCTTTTGTTTTTTGTTTTCTATTTTTGGAGACAGCCCTGGCTGGTCTATAACTCATGTAGCTCAGACTGGCCTTGAACTTAGAGATCCGGCTGCTTCTGCCTCTCTCTGCCTCCTGAATGCTGAGATCAGAGGTGTGCACCACCATTCCTGGCAATCCTGTTCTTTTTTAAAATTACATTAATTTATGTGCATACCTATGCATACAGGTGCCAGGGTGCTGTGTAGAGGTCACAGGACAACTTTCAGGAGTCGGTTCTCTCCTTCTACCATATGGGTCCTGTGTATCAAACTCCAATCATCAGGCTTGGCTACAAGTGCCTCTACCTACAGAGCTATCTTACCAGCCTGATAGGAGTGGTTTTAACCCTCACCTAGGCAGTATCCTACCTTAAAAATGGCGACAGCAGTGCTAAAATGGGGCCAGCTCTGCTGTCTTGCTTTCCTGTGGGCTTCCTTTCCTCCTTCAACCCCAGAAAGCTGCTTTTCTACACAGGTCCTGAGGCACATGTAGCTGGTGGACATCCAGCCTGCCTGGCATGCCTCTTACTTAGTCAACCCCCCTGGCAGTAACTACTCTCCTTGCCTCCCTGGCACATGGGGAGATTCTGGGGCATTGAGGAGTCACTAACCTGCTGAGCTCCAGTGTCCTCACCTGTGACAGTGGGATCCAGGTCTGCCCTAGACAGGGCTCAGCAAGGGAGCATGGTATTACAGTCCTATCATCCCAGCACTCAGGAGGCTGAAGTAGGAGGATCTCAATTTAAGGCCTGCCTGGACTATCCAGCAAGATCCTTGTTGGGCTGGGCATGGTAGTGCATGCCTTTAATCCCAGCACTCTTGAGGTCAAGGCCAGCCTGGTCTACATAGCAAGTTCCAGGCCAGCTAGGGCTAGTGAGACCCTATCTCAAAAAAACAAAATGAAATAAAACACATTGGGGCTGAAGAGATGACTCAGGAGTTAAGAGCACTGGCTGCTTTTGCAGAGGACCCAGGTTCAGTTCTCAGTACCTACATGACAGCTAACAACTGTCCATAACTCCAGTTCCAGGGGAGGTCCAATGTCCTCTTCCAGCTTTCGCAGGCATTACATGACATGTGGTATATAAATTTTATTCCAGCACTCAGGAGGCAAAGGCAGGTAGATCTCCAAGTTCCAGACCAGCTGGGGCTATAGGGAGACCATCTTGAACCAAAAAAACACCAGGTGTGGTGGTGCATGCCTTTAATCCTAGCACTTGGGCAGCAGAGGTGGGTAGATCTCTGACTTGAAGGGCAACCTAGTCTGCAAAGCAAGTTCCTGGCCACCCTGGAGACCCTGTCTCAAAACAAACACCCTCAAAAATCCAAAAACAAAACACTTGTCAACATCAGTCCTTTCTCTGGTACCTGACACTGTCGATGCAGTTCCTAAACATGGGATCCTGCCCTACATGGACCTGCACATCCTGTTCATCTGAGCTGACAGAAGAAAGATCAGCATTTCTACTCTCCAGGGAGCCAAGACCGTGTGCTGCCAATGTACTTGGCACTCAAGTTCATCCAGTGGCTGTGGAACTGAATGCCCTATGTTCCTGTTAGTGCGTTTGGTGGCCACAATGTCTCTCCAGTCGGGGAAGCTGGGGGGCAGTGGGATGGGGGTGACAATTGCATTTTGGCCCTGTAGTGACTACAAATGTCTCAAGTCTGTTTAAGCCCCTTATATGGGTCCCAGGGCATGTAGACCAACCTTAGCTGCATCCAACTTGAGTAAGACCTAGTCCCTCTCCCAGGTCTCCTGGGTGGCAAGATGGAGGTGGAATAAGGCTACAGATGGGGCTCATTCTGCTGCCCTGAATCCTGTTGACAGCTGTATGCTGCAAAGCAAAGGGATCTGATCAATGTGGTCAGCAGAGCCACATACTTAAGTTTTCACCGGAAGCCTGTGTGGTGTGGGGCTGGAAAGTGGACTGCTGGGAGGATCCACCCCCAGGGGTCTGCTCCTTTGGGTCTTGCTGGATGGTAAGTTTGCACAACTGCCGTTTGCGTCCAAGTCTCCCACAAACGGGTTTGTGGTGAGGGGGTGGCACTAGAAGAGGTGAAGCCGTTTAAGCTGTTCCCAGGATGGGACTCGTCCGTCTTGTGTGCTTGGCGTATCCTGGCCCTGGGAACCTCAGACCCCAAGACAGCAAGGTCCAAGAACATGCCCTGAGTGTTATGAAGGTCATTTCTCAGAATTGCATTTGCAGCAGACATGTTTAAAGATGAGAGGATGTCTCTGGGATGAAGCTGTTTGGGGGTTTCCCAAGCTTAGTGACACCCCCACCTTTTTGGCAGTGGTGGGGTTATAGAACATGGGGCTTTTGTTCCTGCCGATAAGCAGTGTACCATTGAGCCACATCCACACCTATTACATGTTTTTGTTTTGGGTGTTTTTTGTTTTTTGTTTTTGTCTTTTTGAGACAGTCTCCTTGTAGCCCCAGCTGGCCTGGAACTCACTATGTAGACCAGGCTGGCCTTAACTCACAGAGATCCGCCTGCCTCTGCCTCCCGAGTGCTGGGAATAAAGGCGTGCGCCACCACGTCCAGCATACTTGTTCTTTTTCTCACAACCCACTGCGTTGGTAGGTGTCCATTTGGGGCCCTGTAAATAAACCAATACAGATCGAGATGCTCACTGGAAGCAAGAGAGCCCATCTCTGACCCAGGAGTCTAGAGGCTTCTGTCCCCTAGAGGTTAACCACTAGGATGTTAGCCTCTAAGAAGAAGGAAATGGATCATAGACCGACAGCTGGGTGGAGGCCCAGCTTGGCCCCCTGCCATTTCTCAAAGGATGGTCTGTCCAGAGTTGTTATTACTATCCCGGGACACCAGGGGCCATGGCAACATTGGTGGCGGTCACAAGCCAGTACTGTGCTTCAGTTTGATGTGAAAGGAAACAGTCTGCATGATGGTTATCCAGCTGCTGGGATGTGGTTATTTCAAAGAAAGCATTCCAGAATGGAGATGATGTTTACAGGAGCTGGGTCTGTTCATGTCAACTCCAGGGAGACTAAACCAAGCCTTGCCATAATTACTTTTCCAGTCAAGCATATGGGACTTCAAGCATAGCAGTCCAGCACCCCCAGGACCGTGTCAACAACTTGGTATTGGTCCTACAGCATCTTGTGTCCCTGCTCACTATAGTTAGTGGCCAGAAACTAACTTTTGTGTGAGTTAATGTGATAAACTACAAACCCAGAGTTGGAGCTGAAGATATGACTCAGCAGTTAAGAACACTGGCTGCTCTCGCAGAAGACAGGAGCTTGGTTCCCAGCACCCACATGGCAACTAAAACCTGTCCTTAACTCCAGATCCAGGACATCCAACGCCCTCTTCTGGCCTCCAGGCATTGCACACGAGCAGTGCACTTACATACATGTAGGCAGAATACTCATACACATAAAAATCTTACCTTTTTATTTTTTTTCTTTATGAGATGGGCTCCTGTAGCCCCAGCTGGCCTGGAACTCACTATGTGGACCAGGCTGACCTCAAACTTGAAGAGTTCCGCCTGCCTCTGCCTCCTGAGTGCTGGGATTAAAGGCGTATGCCACCACACCTGGCCCATATAAAAATCTTTTTAAAAACCCAAAATCCATCATTGGAGTGAGCCCCTAAAGACACCTTTCCTTGAGTGAGAAGGGAGGACACAGGTTCCCAGGAGTGGACTGCCAGCGCTGTTGCAGGCTAGCTAGAAAGGCAAGCCACGGGCTGGAGATGGCTCAGCACTTAATCTTCAGAGAACCAGGGCTTGAGTCCCAGTATCCGTGTGGCTCACGACCATCTGTAACTCCAGTTCCAGTGATTCTGATGCCCTCTTCTGGCTTCCTTAAGCTCCAAGCACTCATATGGTTCACATACATGCAGGCAAAACCCTCATACACAAAATGAATATTTAAAAATCTTCTAAAAACCAGCTAGATGTAGTGATGCCTTTAATCCCAGCACTCAGGAG